GAGGCGGGTGGCGCAGGCCACTCTAGGTGGGAGAGAAACGGTCGATGGTCCGGCCGTCGGGCCCGGCGGCCAGGTGCGCGCCCTGGCTGAGCACCTCGGCCGCCTTGTCGGGACTGAGGCCCAGCTCCGCGGTGAACTTGGCCAGCGGGTAGAGGCTCTCGAGCGCCACCTTGGGGTCGTGCAGGAAGTGCGTGGTCTGCGCCAGCAGCTCGGCCGCCGCCGCCTTGTCCTGCTGCTTGAGGCTCAGTTGTTCGGCCGTGAGGCGGGCCATGGCAAAGACGCCCTCCGGGAAGTCGAGCTTGCCCTTGCCGTCGGGGCCTGGCACGCCGGGCAGCGCCCCGAGGCCCGCCAGCGCCCCGGCCGCGCCCGCCGCGCCGCCCACGGCGTGCATCTTCATGTGGCTGATGAGGTTGCGTTGCTGCGCGAACTTGCCGCCGCACACCTGGCACTCGTAGGGCTTCTCTCCCGAGTGGATGCGCATGTGCTCCGTGAGGCGGTACTGGCGCGTGAAGCGCATGCCGCACGCGTCGCACGCAAAGGGCTTGAGGCCCAGGTGGCTGCGCATGTGGCGCGTCATGGTCCCGCGCTGCGTGAACTTCTTCCCGCAGATAGAGCAAGGATAGGGCCGGGTCAGCCAGTGTGTCTTCTCGTGCTGCCGCAACGTGGCGGGGTCCTTGTAGCTCTTGTCGCAGGACGCGCAGCGGTACGGCCGCAGCAGCTCGCCCAGGCCGCCCGGCGTTCCACCCACCTTGTCCCCGCCGCCACCGAAAGGGGGCCCTAGGCCAGCGGCCCCGGCCGCCACCTCTGCCGCCTCGGCCCGGCCATACAGCGCCTCCTCCTCCACGTGCGCCTCCACGTGCGCATTGAGCTGCTCCGAGCTGGGGAAGCCCTTGCCGCACGGGATGCACACGTACAGGTTGTCCCCGAAGCTCTCCGGCTCGCCGTACGCCAGGTGCGGGCACGGGTAGCCCTCCAGGTGGCCGCCGGTCGGGCTAGGGTCCTCGCTGCTGCCGGTCTCCTCGCTGCTGCTCTTGTAGTCGTCGCCGTCGCCGGCTCCGCCCGGCCCGTCCAGGCTCCCAGGATAGCGCGGTGGCGGTGCCAGGCCGAGCTGGGGGCCCCCGGGCGAGAGGGCAGCGTCCCCGCCGCGCTCCTCGCAGCGCTCGCTGGGGGAGCCGCGTTCCCTGACCAGCTCGTCGCCGTAGCTGCCCAGGCCTGGCTCGTGCTTCATCCAGCGATAGAGAAGGCTGGGCCCGTCGGGGCGCCCCGGAGGGAGCTCGGGGCCCGGGCTGCCGCCGCGGAACGGGTCCGGGGCCGCGGCGGCCTCCTCCAGCTTCTGGAAGGGCAGCGGCGGCAGCGGCGGCAGCACGAGGGGCGGCTCCTTGTAGGCGGCGGGGCCGGCGCCGGGAGGGCTGTCCGGGCGCGGGGGCAGCTCGCGCTCGCCCAGGGGCCGCTCGGGCACCGCGGAGCCCGGCGGGCTCTTCTTGGACAGGTCCAGGCCGCAGAGCGGGGAGCAGCGGCGCTCCGGGACGCAGAGCGCGGCGGCCGGGCCCGGCCCCGAGGCGTACAGCTCCGCGCAGTGCG